GAACAAACACAACAATCATTAGCAAAATAATAAATGAATGTGGTAAAAAAATAACTAATAAGCAAAACAAAGCTAATGAGTTTAATAGAGTTTTCTCTAAAGTAGGTAACTTAATTTCTAAAAATATTAAGAGTTATAACTTCCGACCTATAAGTTTTGATACACTTAACAAGAACTGTTATATTTCTGACCTACCTTAACAATCGGATACAGAGAGTAAAAATAGATAATAAGTATAGTAACGAATAAGAAACTGATTACTTTGTACTACAGGGTACAGTACTAGGTCCAATATTATTTATAATATACATTAACGCACTCCTTAATCAAGAAAGTCCTGATACGATTATTTGTTTTGTGATGATACAGTCATCTTATTAAAAAGTCTATGTATAGATAATTTATATATAATGGCTGATAATAGTTTTAACATTGTTGAAAATTGACTAGATAATAATTCACTTAGGATAAACATAGAAAAAACTAATTATATTCACTTTAGTATTCAAATATCTATACATTTAGATAAGTATAAAATCATTATAATAAATTAAAAAAATAATGTATGCAAATGCAGTGAACTGAATAGAGTTAGCTCTATGAAATACCTTTGGTTTATTTATTGACGATAAATTAAAATGGGATGTACATATAAATTATATTAATAATTTACTAAGAAAATTTGTCTATATATATAAATCTTTTAAAACTACACTTAAATTCAAATTAAAACAATTGACGTACATTGCACTAATACAATATATTATTTCTTTTTGGGAGGAACATATCATACTCACTATTGGAATCTTGAAACCACTTTAAACTCACTCCCCAAATTTATTTTCAATAAGCCCACATTATTTCCTAAAATTAAATTATTTAAAGAGTTAGATATATTAAATTTAAAATCATTATACACAAAGAAAATATGTTCTTATAAAATGAAAATATCCATTGATGTTCCATGGAACATTTACAGCACTCGCTTTAAGGTCAATACTAATATCATCGTCCTTAAAATGAATACTGTATTTGAACAACAAAATTCATATTATAAATGTATTCAATTTTGTATTAATTATAATTTTAATAGTTTCATAATGTATAAAAAATATATAACTAATGATTTTATTTCAATAACTGTTATGTTAAGTTTCTTTCTTTATTAATATCAAAATGCAGATACCTCTATTATTATGTAAAATTTAAATCGTATTATCTGTACCAGCTCTAGGTCAAAGTCTAAAGCACAAGTTAGATAAAACTTAGCTTTTTTTATGCTTTAGGTTCTATTATCATGACTACTTCTATCACAAACTTTCTCTTTTCAGCACAAGCTTGCTTTTGAAAAGTGAACCAAAGTTTTATAATTCTTTGTATGTCTGTATTATATATCTTATAATTGGTGTCTAATAACTATTATTATTACATAATTGACACACAATATAGCACCGAAACATCAAGAAATTAATCTTTTTTTTTTTTAAATTGGGGGGCTGGAAAACGTGTCTACCGCTTCCCCAAGAATTTCGGTTATAGCGATCGTAGGAAGTCCAAATAAGTTCTGAAAACTATCAAACAAATTAAAACAAATTACAAAAAAATTCGTTGTGGAATTTACAAACCCAAAATCCGAAAGGGGGGGGCAGTGTAACGTATATAACATTAATAGTAAAAAGAAAATTGGAAAATATAAAATAATAAAATAACGTCGTAAATTTGTCAATTTTATTCCTGTTGTGTCCGATCGTCCGTCCGTAGTTACCAGTAGGTTGTGGTATACCAACATTGGTTTTTCAAATGAAAACCTATAATAAAAATTCCATAAAAAGATGAAGTATTATTATAAATACATTTTAGTGTCATCATTTTTGATTTCCGTCAACTTGTTAACGAGATATTCGTCACATCTCCCCCTACCTAAATATAAAAGTGAAATATTCAAATATCTCGTCATCAGGTTGACGAAAATTAAAAATGTTAAGGCCAAAATTTATTTTAAGTAATACTCCATCTATTTATGGAATTTTTAGCATAGGTTCTCATTTGAAAAACCAAAGTTGTTATCACCAAAGGATACCCCTTAAATGTTGTACAAAATCTAAGTATTTGAAAATATCGGCTTTAACTACAATTAAAAATTCCAACAATCAGAATTTGAATGCATGCAGAATTTAATCAAAAAAATGGGGTGAGCACGCTAGTGAATCATCATTTATATTACTCGTAATACAATTATTATGTTTAGTAATTTAAATTCAATATAATATTATTATCATTATATATTTAAATGTGAGTATTAAATATACATTCATACTAGCTCATAATAAAACTATAAAGTAATACAAGGATATAATAATATAAGGAGTACAGAATTGTATATAAATATTTACGGTTAATCGTTTGAAAAAATACGTTTAGAAATCGGGAACTTAACCCGCTCGTAGTTTTTTATGGGATGTAAAATAGTACAGTTATATTATTGAAGCATACTCGGCTATTTATTATTATACAAAGAATATTTATTTCTTTAATAAACAAAAAAAAAAAAAAAATAATAATAATAAAAAAATAAGCGGGGAGTAAACGAAAATTCAACTCTATATTATATTACAGCGGCGATGGCGTTCTGCTGGCTCACGGACGTGTATTTTTATTTCCCTTTTTTTTTTTTTTTTTCTAACAACAGCGATAATATAATAATTACGTTACATTACCACGTCGTCTTCGGTGACATAATTTAGAGAGCCGTGTATAATACACACGCGCATGCCATCGTGCTTTATAAGCATTACATGGGAGATGTATTTATTTTTTTTTTTACCCGATATATAAAACTACCATAATATATATGTATATATATATATATTATGGTATATATATATATATATATGAACACGGTACGTTGAGCATCGCACAGAACAAATAAGTGTATATTTTGTGCCTTGTTGGCGAACATCAAGCTCTCTAATATACCCCGCAGGGACTATAACTCTGTATACGTATATACGACGGGCAATAAGCGGCGGATCTGATCTAATCAGAGTCCGCACGGTCTGCCGAAAAACAAACACGGTTCCGGTGTAATTCCGGTCACGTACAGACGGGAAGAAGGCACAACGACAACGTCGACGTGTGCGAGTATATTAAGCCATTTATCGTTTCCCGCGACGGCTATATATTATATATGTGTATATGTATATATATATATATATATATATGTGTGTGTGTGTGTGTGTGTGTGTGTGTATGTGTGTTTGTATATATATATATATATTTATACTGAGCGGCGGCGCAGTTGAGTTTAGCGTCGTTTTCCGAACGATAATGTATACCGATCCTCTACATATATACCTATATATATTTACTGTACAGCGATCCATTCGATGAAATATTATTTTTTTCTTTTACTCTCTTTTGACGCGAGAACCCGGTCGAAATCGTACGATTCTGCTCCGACAATATAAATAAGTATTCATTTAGCGGCATACCGGCAATTTTCGGGTGGGCAAGCCCCCGTCCAAAGAGGTGTTTAATAATCATTTCGCAATGAAATCAACGACTGTTTGAGCGGTTTAACTATCATAACTGCAGTTGGCAATTCTAAATTTGGTGTTTGCAAGGCAGAACTCATTTTAAAAACTAGCTGTAAGATAACATGCATCATATGTAAACAAAATATAAAATTTAAAGTTTGAATTTGATGTAGAAGACCTTGGCCTTTTACACGCATTTCAGGAATTGAACATTTTAAATTAATTGCTTTTAATGCTTGATATTGCACCATAATTATTTTGTATTGCATTCACGGCTTCCGCACGACAAGCCCATCAGGTAACGGAACATGATTTTAATGTTTGCGAGCACCATTTTCTTTAGCTATTTTTCAAATATAGTATGAACCATGGGACTCCCTTCAATACATGAATAAACAAATAGAACGGTTTCAAGAAAATCAAATTGCTACTACCCCATTGTGTTCTGTAGATTTTTTAACGTACTTTTTTCAAAACAATTTTTGTATACAAATTTTTTTTCTGATTACCAAATTGACCAAGTTAGTAGAGTTTATGCATAATTTGTTTTTAACAAAATTTTAACTTATAACCACTAAAAATAATAAAAGAAATGTTAAATAATTAAATATTATTTTTGGTGCGTGATGTTTTTTTATTTTGTTAACTGCATCATTTCATCAACTGCATCAATTAAATACATTTACCTAATGAATTTTTCAAAATTTCCCCCTTAATGTTGTAAACATGATTCGGGCTTCGTCTTATCCGAACTCGATCCTAAGGCTACGATCAAACTAGACCCAGACCTCGGCATCGGCCAAATATTTTTCAGACAGCATCTGCCGAATTATTCGACCGTTATCATTGACAAAATTCGGCCGACAAAAATAGTCAGACTACATCCGGATTTCGGTTGAGTTCACAAAATGATAAAGTTAACACATATTTATTGTCTTGCAGTTAGATACGCAGCGTGGACGTCACCAATGAAATTTTCTTGTTAGAAACAAATCTAATAATAAAATATTTATTATTAACTCAAAAAAAAATTTAAAAAAATGATGAGTTAATGATATTTTTGTGGAAAGAGAAAAATTTGGAAAATTCCACACATTTTTTCCAAAACTTCTGGTTCAACCAGTTAAATTTTTTGAGTATATGCGAATGCCTCCTGATACATTTTATTATATTTTACATAAAATCCAACCATTTTTGGAAAAACAATCGAATTTTAGAAAATGCATTACACCTGCTGAAAAGTTAACTGTTATATTTAGATAAGTACTACAAACTAAATAATCTTTTATAACATCAAATATAATAAATAATTTAGATTCTTTTTAAAAATATTTAAAAATTTGGAATTATTTATTTTGAAAAATAAATCAAAACTAAAAACTCAGGTATCACTTTTTGTATTTTATAAAATCTTTTTAAAAATATTCCGTTTGTTATTTAAATAAATTGTAATTATTTAACTGATTACAAGTCACTGAAAATAAAATCTGTGGTTGGCGTTGTATCCGTTCTATGTTGGGCACTTGAAAGATACTGTAGGTTATAGTTTTCATTGACGTTTGTTGGTTTGGCATGCTGACTTTGAAAATTTGGAATACATGTAGAAGATTTACTAGAGTTTTTATAAGTATTACGGCGTTCTATTTCTTCAATAAGTACTTGTTGCAATATCATTCTAACTGATAATTTTCTCTGTTTTGTATATTTTTGAGATGTGGTAACAGACTCATTCAAAAATAAAAATCTTAATCATCCTTGTAATTTTCACTAATTTTAGTGTTATCATTAATAGTATCGAAACGTTTAAGTTTTTGTTTTTCAATTTCTATTAAGTCTGCTATTAGATTATTTTTAATTTTTTTTCTCTTTAATGCAGTTTGAGAATATGAAGTTGTTCTTTGTATATTATATCGTTCAACAGGTGATGTTTTTTCTTTTCGCATATTTTTTTTGAATATTGATAATTATTTGTCGGGGTATTATAGTGTCTCTCAAAAAAGTCATATTTTCATGAAATTTCCATTGAGATTATATAACATTAGGTGTCCCACCGCTAGTATTGCGCTTTTGTTTGTTCCATTCTTTTCAAAAAGTATCCCTTACATTTTGCCATTTAGCTTTCATAGTTCCACCTAAAAGTATAATAATGGAATACAAAAAAAAAAATAATAATAATAATGACTGAAAATATAAAAATTGTATTATTTGTAGTTATTTACATTACTAAATATTATGTATAAATGGGTTTTAAATTATATTTGACTATTTTAGTAAATTATTAAAAAAAAAATTATTATTTAAAACGTCCTTTTCCATTTGTAAGTTTCTGTCAACCGGAATGTCATATATATCATTAGCATTTTCTTTCTGTGTGGCTCATAATACAATTGGATACATTATTTACGATATATGCAATATTATTTGAAACATTTTTTGCAAACATTCATATGCTATTCCCAACAACAGATATACTGTTGCTAAAGCACTCAGCTCGTATGAACCCGTTAGAATTGTAAACACATCATTATTACAATCGCATCGTTTTTAAATGACAAAGCCTATACGGTAATATTTATCGGTGATATTAGGAATTGAATTGTTTGTTTGAAGTTCCAGTAGACAAATCTTCGCATTTTTACTAACTTCTAAAATTTTAATTACAGATGTCCGCAGTTTGTTGAATTATATTTCCGATATCTTTCATAATTGTATTTAATACTAAATCCGTAAAAGTATTTCTGTATTTCCAACGGTGGAGGTAAATTTTCAAAATGATCGTAATATTCCACTTGTTTACCGATTTTTTTTACGCTACCCAGTGTGTGCCTTCACTATTTTCATTGTCCAAATTAACAATAGTGGATTCCCGATGTTAAATTTTATTAGGCAAACTGTCTTTAGAGAAGACGCCTATGAAATGAGGTATTTTCAACATACCTGCATATTTTAAAATTTCATAATCATACCCCTGAGCTCTATTGGGTAACGTGGAAATTAGTTTTTGACGATTTTCTCTGTTACTTGCTCGAACCGCTACCGCGTTTGTGTGGTGCCAGGTATAAGCCTTTACCTTGCTCTATTTTGTATGATGCACATTTGTAAAGCATTAAATACATTCCTTTCCCTAAATGAGCAGGTATGTTTCTATCTGCTATCAAGTCGTTTATTACTTTTACTACATTAGCAACACTACCGGCGAGTGCGTCCAACACTGATAAACCAGCAAAAAAAGGTATTAACGGCAACACTTCGCCTTTTTTCGAAATAGGTATTATCCTGGGAGTTTTGGTTTTCTTATTTTTCTTGGTTACTATCAGACACATCCTTATTAATTTATAGACGTTATTTTAATAATCCAGGAATACAGGTGTTGGAAACGAAATATTATCGATTTTTGAAGAATTACTCAAAGCGGGGCTAATAAAACGGATTCCAAATGTCTAAACGCCAGATCACGTTCGAACTGCATAAAACGACACGAAAAAATTTCAATAGACGAAAAGTTAATGTTTACGGAAAAAATGATTTATGGCAAGCTGACTTGTTCAAAATGATACCGTACTCTAGGAAAAATAAAGAATATAAATATATACTATGTGTCATAGGCTGTTTCACGAAATATGTATGGGCTATACCATTAAAGATGAAAAAAGCGAATGAAGTGACTAATGCAATGTCTGGAATATTAATTAGACGTTCACCCGAGTTACTACAACTCGATAATGGAAAAGAGCTTTATAATTTGACATTTGATACGTTAATAAAAAAGTATAATGTGAATAAATATTCAACTTATAGTCGAGGCGTTGAACTCACGAGTGAACGTTTCGTTGAATGAGTTTGAGTTGTTCCTGAATACCTGAGTTCTGAGTGGTGCCAGATTTATATAGTACTATTATCCAGTTTATGAGGCGAAAAACAGGCTGAAAATGTCAATGGCGTTGCTTTGGCGAATGTTTAGCCTATTAATTATGGGTTAAAATTTGTCAGAGCTAATCTGCAGGAAGCTGCTCCCGATTGATTCAGTGGTAGGAATTTCGGAGACTCCGATTCCGGACCACTTGTATACGTAAGTTAAATACGTCTGACCGTTACGATTTGCTAAAGGTACGTGTCCAGAAGAAGGACAAACACGTTGCGAATCATTTCCAACCGACTTTAACGCTCACGTTTGTCGAAATGAAGGACCATGTGCTAAAGGGGTTGTAGAAATAATGTTCTTTAAATATCTTAAAACTCTTTTCAAGTGATTAAAATGATCTTCAGTGGCTTTAGATTGATGACGGCTAAAATAATTGACTGTTGTACTAAGATCCGATCTGGTTTGAATCATCACATACATCTTTTACTCGTTTACTTGTTGATCCTTTTTCTTCAAGTTTGAATTTCTTCTCCATTGGTGTTGATATTGGTTTACATTTATTCATACCAAATTTATGTAGTAAGTTTTCAAGATATTTATGTTTATGTAGGTATATTTTGTTTGATTCATATTTAAAATATTATTATGTCGTTCAATTTTAATTCCTAAGAAAGATCTTGCATCCTCTTGATCTGTTAGCTTGAATTCTTTACTAAGTAGTTTTCTTAAATTGTTTACTTCCTTCATTGAATTACCAGCCACTAGCACATCATCCACATACAACAATAAATACAAATTATTGTTATCATTCAATTTTACATACAAACATTGATCGAATTTGCTTCTTGTTAAACCTTGTTGACATATTAAATTATTAAAACGTTTATTCTAACAATTTGAAGACTGTTTAAGACCATAGAGTGATTTATGTAGTTTGCAAACCAAACTATTTTCTTGGTCAAAATCATCAGGTTGTTTCATATAAAATACCTCTTCCTCTAAAATACCGTTGAGTAAATCTGTAGTCATATCCATCTGAATGAGGTGTAGATTCCTTTGATTTACTATTGCAAATAGGGTTTGTAATGTAATGATATTAATTACAAGTGAGTAAATATCAGTATAATTAAAACCTTTTATTTGTGTATATCCTTTAGCTACTAATCTAGCTTTGAACCTTAATGGATTTCCCTCTTTATCCAACTTTAATTTGAATATCCATTTTTTATTTATGATCCGTTTATTTGGGTTTTTGAAACCAATAAATTACACAACAAATTATATCTTAAATGTGGAACATAATATACATTTTTAAATTTACATAAAATAGTCTTAGCTAATTTCTACCTGACTGTATGTATTTTTTATATCTATTTTTGATACAGTTAGATATTCTCCATTTTTAGCGACACCTATGATCATTGGATTTTCTAGTACTTTCAAAGATGAAAAATATCACTCACTGTTTACTAAATGATCAGAACTGCTCGAATCAAATTATTTTTAGTTTAATTCTTCATTTTGTTGCGTTAGCAACATGGTTACTGGGAAACACACACTTCTGTCATCATTTTCCGAAACATTGTTAACTATCGGTTATTTTGTTTGTACAATTCTTTGGATCTGTTCTTTCCTTTATAAAACTTTTTCCTTTTAAGTTTACATTCAGTTGATTTATGTCCAACTGGATTACAATTACAACATTTAAAAGGAAATTTGCCAGTATTCTTTGAATTAAACGCTGCACTATCAGAAGAACACTCTTCATTTATAGTACTATTACTTTTCTTTGCTTCTTCATCTAGTAAACGACCCTTTACAAATTCAATTGTAAGAGTCTCTGGTGAAAGAGTTTCTAATGCTGTAATTACATTATTGTACGTTTCAAGCATAGTTAGTAGTAGATGACAAACAATATCCTCGTTCTCTTGTTTAGGTCCTGCAGATCTGAGTTGTCGTATTATCTCATCAAACTTCACAAAATTACTTTCTAAATTTATTTCACCACTATATTTTATAGTCAATAATCGCCTTCTCAAATACAATTAACTGGTGACCCTTTTTCGCTCAAAAGTTATTAATAATGAATTCCAAAGTTCTTTTGATGTATTCTTTCTCATCACATATTCTTAAAGACTGTCAGCAATACATTGAACTATAATTGACGTACAATTATTGTTGTTTTTACACCATTTTTCCTTGTCTTCTTCTTTCGCAAGTGATGAACAGTTTTCTGAAACACATTGCTTCACTCCAAATTTTTCAAGCAATACTTCTACACGAAATTTCCAGTTTGGCAAATTCGTACCGTTAAATTGTGTAACTCCGTATTTGTCATCACCTTTTCTGGCCATGCCTGGGCCCATAACCTATTGTAGGATAACTATAATACACATAAGTTAACTCATAAAAAAATCACAAAGACACACGACAACCATATATGATTCTGTAAAAAGTAGTTTTTAAATTTTAACAAAAGAACAAAAGTTACAATATACATTTGAGGTTATTGGTACGAAGAATATTATCAATAAGAATATAGATAACAACACGAATGACGTAGACAACAAAAATATTTTGGTATTGAAATAGGAAATAATAAATAATGTTTGTTGCACAAGTGGAGTCAGTAGAGTAGACAATTGGTATACATTAGTAAGCGTTATGAATATTTCGGAGGTAAAATAAAACTACATGTATGAAATTTAAATAAATTAATACAAGAATCAGAATTTGACTATTAGGTATGCACAGACGGGACCTAAACTAATATGGAAAGGATAAATAAATAAAATCACTAGTATGGTGCGGTGCGACCACATGAATACTAAGGAAAAAGAGTCTTTACTTGATATATGCACGTAGTATGTGGGTATATTTCACCTGGAGGGTGATACACCAAAGTACACAAACACAATAGAACACGAAATAAAATTACCCGAAAACTAACCAACGATTTATAGGCGACCATATCGTCTTCCCTAAGTCCAGTAAAAGGAAATAAATACACAAATAAATTCAATGTTAGTAGACGATATAATCGAGCCATCAAGTTCTCCATGGAACGCAACTCTTTTATTCTTTTATTGATGAGGAAAAAGTTAGACGTGACAGATGTTCAAAAATTCAGGATAATCATAAATTTTCGTCCTTTAAATAAAATAACAATAAACGAGTTTCACCCTTTATATAACTGACATTTTGGACTGATTGATACAAAGCCAATTGTTTAGCGTCATAGACCTAGCATCAGGTTTTTACCAAATTCCTTTAGCTGAATCCTCGCATGCACGACCTTTTCAACTTTACAAGGTTATTGGAAATTTAAAAGAATGGTAATAGGAATGAAAACATCACTCGCAACTTTTCAGCGATTAATGAACATGGTATTATCTGGGTAAGTATAAAGTGTCTGGTATATTTAAATTTAGATATGGCATGTTGGTATTGGATCGCAGAATCCAATTTTTTTAAATTTATGTACAAGTAAATAATGATGCACACTATCAAACGCTTTTTTGAAATCAGTAAAAATTGTAAAATCGTATACATTTGAGAACTATTTGAAAAAGACTTTATGATATTGTGTTTGAATGGCTAGATTGGTTATAATAGAATGCCCCTTGTGAAAAACATATTGATTGTTACATAAACATTTATTTATTATAAAGGACATTTTTTTATATTGTTTATACTCCAGACATTCTGATAGTATATAATACTTCTGCGGTGGCTGACCGTTCATTGAAATGGTAGGACAATTATTAATAAATTTGATAAACAAACCAGTTTTACCAATATCTTTTCGCAATTTTAAATCGGAAGCAATGGAAGAAAATAGCTTACGTTGTTGTAACGTTCGGATAAAAGAAATTCGAATATTTTTGAATTTATCAACATTTAACAGCTGCCGTTTAACTTTCAGAATTTGAAAAACATCAGATGTCGACTGTAAGACAATACGTATAGGACGAGGCTTAGTTGATAACTTTTGAAGACGGTTAACAATCAATGACTTAATTGATCTACCGATGAGGTTGATTTAAGTCAGATATTGAAACATCCGGAACATTAAATATTATAAAATTATGAGCTCTGAGTTGGCGTGATCTGTTCATAAATTCAAAAAATAATTGTTCTTGATTTACAGCTGGGGAAGGTATTTGAGTACATTTGACATTAGATAGTTAAGATTCTAACTGCTTAATTCTCGACCTTAATAACTTGTTTTCTTCAATCACTGAAAAATTTGATTAGAGAGCAAGTCAAATTTGGAATCAAAAGAAGCCAGTTTTAAATCCTAAGACTTGATAGAATTACGACACAAGTTGATGGATTTAACTATTTTATTTTATGAACTACTTAAGTCATTAATCATACCAATTAGTTTATTAAATTTGTCAGTTATTGCATCATTTTATTTGTTGCGGTAATTGAAGGTTTTCTCGTCATTAAAGTTTATCGAATGAAAATTGTGTATGCATGCATATCGTTTCACTTTACCTTTTCTGTTTGTACATGCACATCGAGTTCACGTTTAAGAGTAAGGTCACACGAGCGTTTTATTAACGAATGTCATGACGTCCGTTGTTAAAATTTATTATAATTATGCCTAGCAGCCACACATACGACGTCCGTTGAATTTACCGTCCGTTCGATGTTGGTGACAGACAAGACATGCTATAACGTCCATTACGATTTGCTTATCAGTGTTGTAGATTATTATTAGATTCAATTGACAAAAGACAGACAAACACGTTGTTTTGACGTCCGTTCTTTAGTACGTTCCTACATTTTTCAGTATTTTAGTTCATGTAGACATTTTCACTTGTAGAAGGTAATATATTATTAATTTTAAATTAAATTTTTTACACTTAAATTAAAGTTGTTCAATATAGAGACTAAACAGTTAATATCGGAAAAGAAAAACGACTATTATTGTGGGACACGTTTGATGAATTTTATAAAGATAGAAATAAAAAAAATGAAGCTTGGTTGAATGTTACGTCTGCTTTATATGGAAATTTTTCAAATACCGAAACTGAAAAAAAAATTGGTAAGTAGATACAAATAATACAAAAACAATTTATTTTATAATAATTATTTTTATTGAAAATAATAAATCAAGACGTGATATCAGTAATTAAAAAAATATAACAAATAAGTATACAATTAAGTATATTATAAATTATTATATAATGAATGAAAAGATCTATTTTAATTTTTTAATTTTGCCAAATTATTTGTCCATGTTCAGAAACAGAATAGTTAGCTAGAGCGTCCCGAAATATATATTTAATGATCTATTTACGTATAAATTATTATCATATTTTTTAAGGTCTTCCATTCCTGAAATTGCCAAAGTATCTTCAAATTTTAAACCATCACGATCACGTACGAAATTATGTAACACACAACAACATTTTACAATATCAATAGCAAATTCCACATTAACATCAATTTGTCGATGGAATTTTATCTACTTATTTATTAATATACCGAATGAACATTCTACGTAACGTCTTGCCCGAGACAATCTATAGTTAAAAATTCTTTTAATATCTTGTAAATATTTTCCTGCATAAGGCATTAAACATGTTTGTTGTAAAACAAATGCTTCATCACCTACAAATGCGTAAAGAATAAGAATATGAATACCGGGTATGAACTTCATACTATGAAGTTTGGGCTTAGAATATTTAATGAATTATTTTGTAATTTATTCCATAGACTAGAATTCTTAAAAATGGTAGAATCCGAACCAACATGAATATAAGTAAAACAGTAAATTGAATCGACACTGCGAGTAAAATAATCGAATAAAAATGTTTATAGTTAAAGTACAACGAAGCATATCTTACAAGCTTGGGGTTATCCGAATACGCTTTCCATCAACTGCTCCCAAGTAGTGTGGAAAATTTGCTCGATGTTGAAAACCTTCGACTATTTTTTTCCAATTTTCTTCATTCGATGTAGGCATACATTCATTTGACATAATATCTGAAATTTTTTGACAAACTGTTCGTACTATGTTACTTTAAGTAGATCGGCTAATTCTATACGCATAATGTAAATCATAAAGGTGGTTTGAACTTCCCAAATATCTAAAAATTTTAAATTTTAAATTTTAAATATCTAATCTTAAATACAGATTTAAATAGGATACTAAGCATAATCTTAATGTTATATTAAAAAAAATATTTTATGTTTTCATAACAATATGATAAAATTGGAAAAATTTTGAAAATAGAAGTATTATACTAGGTATATTATTTGTATTTTTAGATATTTTGACCTATTTAGGTGTTAAATTATTTATATTTCAATGTATTAATGTATTCAATTTTACTATAATGAACTCTCTGTTATGTTATTATTAAAAATAAAAGACATATGCAGTGTGATATGAAATTACATATTTATTTTGTGTGTCTTATTTGTTATTTTATTTTTAAATGGTATACAAATATATTTAATTTTTAAAAAGTAGGTTGTAATTAAAAAATGTACACATTTTTTAGTACAAGAAGTTATTTCAAAATGGTGAAGTGTTCGTGAAAATTATATACGAAGTCTTAAAAAACAAGCAGAATGTAAATAATTTGGAAGTGGTGTGCAAAACATTCAACGATATATTTTTGAACAACAATTTTCATTTTTGAAAAAATTCAGAAAATAGCGTCCGACTTGTAGTAGTTTACAAACACACGAGTTAACTAACGAAGTTACACCTGGATTTGATTTCGATGATATTGAATCAAATATTAATAGTAATACTGAATGCTCTGAAAACGAAGGAAACCAACATGATACATTTACTAAGTCCACGCCAGAAAAAAAAAGAAAAACAACACATTCACTTGAGAATAAACTATGTGCTTTTTTGGATTCACGAACACTTAACACGAATAGTTCATCTGTGGATAAGATTGATGAAGATATGTCATTTTATACATCATCATTGCCTATAGTGAAAACCTTAACCTTAAATCAAAAAATACGTTTTCGAAGTTATGCAACTGCTATAAAATATAAAACATACTGTTTCGTCAATGGTATCTTCAATTTCTCCTTCAAATTCCTTCAATTGACCATATCATCATCACAATATGCCTATATCATCTCATACATACGATCAGTATTTGCAATTAAATACATTAAGTCCAAACTCAACATCATCTTTTAATTCTATACAAACTTATTATACACAGTTTTCTCCAGAAGACCAAAATCCATCATCAGACCAGTCAACAAGTGATGAATTTTTATGATTTGCAGTAAAATTATTTTTAATATTTATTTATATTTTTTTACTTTAAAAATTGTCAAAAGTACGTAATTTGTATAAATTTTAAAATATTTCAAGTTAATTGATTTTTTTTCTTCTTATAAATCAAAATATTTTCAATAATGATCATATACAAGATAGTATGTTTATTTTGTAATAACTTGTAATAATTCCTTCGTATAATAATTCTAATATTTTAATAAAAAAAAACCTTATATAATCAGTTCGTAATCTACTATAAAAAGTGTAAAAATTACCATGCAATAATCTTTCACTATTAATTGGGTGCACCCACCATTTTCTTTGCACTCGTTTTTTTCGCGAATAATTTTCAAAACACTATACGCAAAAACCGTAACCTCCTCGTCATTAATTTTGATGAAAACTGACGTCCTTAGTGTGACTGGGAAAGTAACGTCCGTTAATAAAACGCTGGTATGACCTTAGACTAATTGAATTTCTTAAGTTTTTTTTAAATTTTTAAAAATGTTGGTGTCATCTAAAAGTTCAAGAGGTAAGAAATATTTTACTATAATTAAAATAGAAATAAGTTATATATTTATTAAAAAATTAGACAAGTAAAACAACTAGATTTATGATTAATTTTTATTGTTTTTCTAAAATTCACTTTGATTGGAGCGCAAGTCAAATTTAGAATCAAAAGAAGTTAGTTTTAAATCCTAAGACTTTATCGGTCAGATATTATGAGACAGACTTTTGATTTTGGAGAAAAAACTGCATCAAGTAGCAGAATTTAAAGTAATTCCAACCACATTAAAAACCAAGTATTCAAAAATGGTCATCTTCCTTTAAAAGTTGATACATTCGTAGAAAAACTTACACAATATTATAGAGTTGATCATCTTTTAATTCAAGAAGAAACGAATGGTAATGGTATGACAAGGGATTCTAATATCGATGACAACAGAAACATCGTTATGAATGATGACAATAACGATAATAACGTCAGTGCGACAACGATGACATTGACATTATAAATCAATACGTTAATACGGGTGATAAAAATGTTAATGGCAATGATGACACTGATAATAATGACAACTATACTAACTATGATATTGATGATTTAATTTCTATTGATGACCAAGGACTTTTACCTATTAATAAAATTTTAAATTAATTATGTTTGGCGTGTCAAAATGAAGATTTAGCAATGGGTCTAGGACACTTCGCTGAGGACACATGTATATTAATTAAATTCAAGTTATTATTATATTTCTTAGTTGCGTGAAATAAAGAACTAACAAAAAATTGTAGTAATAGTCATTGCATTCTTCATTGTCAAGTACTCGATATTAAAAAGATGCCAATACCTTTTAAACATGTCCTTGATGAAGTAGTGAAGATTATAAATTATGTTAATTGTATATATATATATACATATATAATTATATATTTTACATACAATATATATATTTATATATATATATATATATTTTACATATGTTGTATATATAATTATATTGTATGTATAATACAATAATAAGCTGACATTTTTTTCGATATCATTTTATTTCAATCCATGAATTGTGACTGTTATCGAAACCCAACCACTTGATGTACATTTTATTCTTGTTCCTTTTCAAAATACGTTCGATAAGAATGGTGTTTGTTTTTATAATTACATGTTCGTAAAAACATCCTAAAATTGTATTATTTAATCCGTCTTTTAGATAATAAGTTACTGGATTTGTATTTAAAACCTTTGTAATTGTAAATACTTCTGTAGTCCAATTCGGGGTATACCCTTTATTGAATTCAGGCTTATATCTAGATATTCTAAATTTATGATTAAATTTTTATTTAGGTTTTCTTATTTTCATATTGTTTAACTTAAACGGCAATTTATGTTTTTTTCTGGTGTTTATTTAATCATAGAATTGTAATGATATATACAATATGGTATATATCATAATATAATATTATATAACATTAATATTATCTACACTACCTTTTATTATAGTGGACACCACTTCATTTTATTAGTTTATAAGTCAATTTAGATTAATACAAATAGTATGTATTATAGTTAAGTTTAGTATTATTGTAATTGGTTATAAGTTTGGTTATTGAATTGTACCAATTCCATGTTCCTGTGATGTAAAATTATTTTATATTTTATTTTTAATTGTTCTTATAATACTTTCAACTATACCTGCCTTTATACTGCTGTTTATACTGTAATGTTTAATATTATATTTGTTCATGAGATCTTGAACAGTTTATTGTAAAGCTCTATTCTATTACCTGTTTGTAATAATTTTGGTTGATTTGCTTTTAATGTATTAAAAAAATTATTTGTAACTTTTATGCTGTTTATATTTTTTAATGATTATGTCCATAAGTATTTAGTATATGTGTATATCACATTTAATATATATTTAAATCTACTGTTTTTCCTAGAATAATATTGCATATCTATTAGGTCAACCTGACAAAGATCATCTTGAAAAGACATATAACATTCCATCTAGGAAATATGCGTCTTGCTGATCGGTATAACTCATCTACTTAGTAGATGTACAAGTAAAATTAAGGGTTTCATAATTTTTTATTCGTTCGTAAAGAGGTTTAACAATAAATTTCCATTTAAAACTGTTAGCAGATTTAAGTTTATTATTTTTGTTAAGATGAACTTTAGTTTGAGATAATATTCCTAAATAATTTTTGTTATCTGACTGTATAACTCCTTTTGGTGTTTTTTCACATAATAAAGACCAAAGACCATATGTCCAATTATATTTAAGATTATCTACCACTAATATAGAATCACCCATAAATTCTACTGGATATTCTCCTATTTGTAATTTTTTATTATCTTTTTCATAATATAGACCATATGTTTTATCATATATATTATTTTCTGGATGTATTTCGAAAATATAGTTGAATTGATAAACTACAGGAGCATATAAACCCGATGGGACATGTCCCTGTGCAGCACAACGAAGCACATGCAACAAGGAGAAAAGGTGAAAAGGACCACACAATTGGGGTATCATTCGATATCTGAAAAAAAAGCAGCACATGAAATGGAAGTGGATAGAACTCGTGCGTTATGGGTAATTAGCTCGATAAAAGGTTATTTATCATGTGTATCAGATGAATATAATTTTTATCAAAATGCAGGCTGGTCATTTAAAAAAAATTAGTCTATAACAGATGTTTGTTCTGGACATGTTTGTGTGTGTATTCCGCTGAAGCATTAGATAGGATTTTTCAAAGATTTTAAAAAGATTTTGGAAAATTCGTGGTTTAAATTGATTTTAACAAAGAAAAATGTCGATCCAATAAAAAAAATTGCTGGGCAACATTATCAACAACTACTGCTACCCTGAAAACTAAAAAAATAGTCTGTGGAAAATCGCACATGTGAGCGTAGATGATAACGAAAGATTGAATTTAATGAAAAATATAGAAAAATAAAAAAGCATATTTATTCCGTTTAGATCATAAAAAACATAAGAATATCCTGAACTTGGTGACTCGAAAAAAGTTGTTTGGAATTTGAAAACCACTTTAACGCTGGAAAAACCGAGATTTGTTATAATTGGATTACAGAAAATATCGAAGATTATAGTAAATTCGAGCATTGTAATTTAACAAACGTGAAGTATACCTTACCGTTTGTATACGCATCCTACGGTCCTCGTTGCGTGTGTTAAATTCGTGTACGATATAATATT